CCAAGGAAACGTTCATATTTGACTAGATAGTGGACGAGTGTAGGTATACAGATATTCGTCGGCTTCCTTGGCTGACAGTTATTTAAGTTGAAAATAAATGGCATGTTGTTTTTTTTTCGTTTTTTCTTTTTGTTTCCTCAACCTAGGCAGAGTCCCGTGCGACGTGGATAATCGCCGATTAGATTATAGAGGAAAGACTAGAAAGCCTGAGAAGGTGGAGTATTTCCATCCGCCCATTAAGGTGCCTCGCTCCAGCTTCAGAGAGACACGGTCCTCGCGCTCCACCATCAGCAGTACTCCGTTACTGGCCGCCTCTCTCGTCACGTCCTGGTCCCCGGCGAAGGCTGATATCACCGGATAATCATTCTGCAGCAGGTTCACCTGCAGGAGAGGGGCACTTTAGTCTCAGGATCTATCAGAGGCTAAACGCAGACTATTTGTTTCATTAGTGCTCACCTGTATGGTTTGTCTGTTGTACACCTTCACCACGTGAAAGCTGAAACTATAGATCCCCCTCCTCGGAGCCAGGAACACACTTGCTTTGAGATCGAAATGGTTGCCGATGTTCACTAAAACCTGTGACCAAGAAGGGCATGACATGTATTGATGTAACCATCTGCATGCTTCATTTAACACAACAGCTGGATTTGTAGCAATCATTGTTTGTGACTTTACAGAGAGGCATTCTGATTCTGGCGTGCCAAATGTCTTAAGGCTGCACTTTGGGATGGTTCCAAATTTGATGCGTATAACAGGCCGCTGTCCAAAGACCTGAGCCGTGACAACTATCCGAGAAAAAGCAACACAAAGCACCTGTCAATGCGGCCGAGGCCTCGCCTGTGATCAATGATCCTGCATGGATTACCATTCCCTTTGACAGCGCGTCTCTGGATCGCGCCAATTACGCACAGCATCCAATGAATCATTTTCAAAGCAAAACAGGATTATGTTCTTAAGGTTAGAGATACTCAGGGCTCAGATCACACAGAGCGAGAGCAGTGATAGGAAATCAATGAAACATAACCTTTAACTCGTCCTTATCGCCCACGGCAAATACATGCTAGATAGATAAATAAAGATGCAATGGAGCTAACATATCTGATTTATTTTTCGACTTTTGCCGGAATTATACTAGTCTTTAATTCAATGAATATCTGACCTGGTCAAAGTAGATGGTCATAGACGTGTTGCTCATATCTGATGGCTCGTGGTTGGTTCCACGCACGGCGGAGAAAGCCACCTTTGCGCCAGCGGAGCGGACTGATATGCCAAGTGAGGAAGTGACCCCGTCCGAAGAGGGGTTCGAGTCGCACACCACGAGACACTTCCCTTCCAGCACGATGGGCTCCGTGTCGTTCTGGCCGCAGAAAACCACGCCGCATCCCAAGAGGAGGACCAGTGCCAGGGAGGCACAGGGTCCCGGGCAGCGTGCGGGCACCATGGTCGGTCCGCTGATCCCGTGCACACTGATACAACCCGGCAGCCCCTTGGAGGTTTGTTAGTACTCGATCACCTGGTCCAGATTGCTCTTCCTCTCTCTCTCTCTTCCTCTAGCTGTGATGCTGCCTCACTCTCTCAAACAGCCTCTGACACACATACGCGTTCCGGCTGTGACTCCCCTCCCTCCTGGGCGTCTTAGTTGATTCGGGGAGAGTATTCAGACAACTGTTGTTGTAAATCCTGATGATTTAAGACACAAAATCAGAATGCTCGTATCAGACAGCAGTGGGAAAACAATTTCACACAGTTTAGACTTTAAACTTGAGTATTTTCTTTGTGCGTAAAAACGGGAATCGTGCGTAAAATGAAAGGCAGTCGCTGCCATGAAATAACATATCTAAACATGCCCATCTTTTATTTGTCCCGTAGTTATCAAATCAACTAATTCTGCTAATTGTAACTAAAGGCAACACTTGGTCACCATGTCCAAGGAAAATACTGTTAAAGCCATCCCTTTCCCCTCGCTCTTTATGGCGAAACAAGCACTTTGCAGGCATTTCTGTGGAGAAAAGGTAAATCACGACCTACCTGTGCCATCCATCCCGCTGTAATGCGCGCTGCCTCTCGCAGACTGTGAAGTGAGCACTCAGATCGCTGGTGCTAAAACAGCAAGGGTCTCTGGGCTCCCTTTCGAGGGACAACTCACGCCCATTATTTGTGTGTGTAGCCACTGCAACAGGACTCCCCACTAGGATCCTGCGATTAAGAGCACATGCGTGGACTTATGGTTTTGTTATTAATCAGTTCGATGTAGTGAGCACGGGGCCCCTGGGGACTGCAGAGATCACTGGCTCTCTGTTATATGCTGTGAGTTTCTCATGTTACTCCCTGATTAATCTGAAATGAAAGGGGTTGCAGCGTTTAACGCAGCTGTTGCATGGCACATTCAGCATGCATGGTGGCCTATATGTTACTAATTTCAGACTTAAACAAGCGTTTCCACGAGTCCAATAAAGATCCTTGTGCGCCATCCAGTGGCGGATGTATCTCCTGCAGAGTGCTATAATCAGGATAAATCAAAGCATTAAATAAAATAACATCCTTCTGATATCTGCTGCAATGTTTGGTTTTCAATCCACATGCACATCTAACAAACACCCCATAAGCGAGATGAAAGCATGGTGATACTTGAGAAAATGCCCTGCACTTCACAGAAAATGTCCCGCACCTCTCTGCACAACCCTTGGCCTTTCTTTTCAATCCCTGACATGTCATCATCCTTTGAAGAGCTGTGTAGAGGGTCCCTATCACAGCCCACACCTCTGAAGAGTCTGAGAGAGGGCTTCACAGGTGGTGAACCTTCACTTTAGACGTTTAATGAGCTGTCATTTTCCTACGTAAAGATGTGCTAACCGGCCACATTATGCATGGCACTCACATCTTCATGTGAAGGCACCTTTTAGTCTTAGACTTCAGTAAATACTGGGAGGAAAAGTCTCCTTCAACATATTTCTTCAAAGCTACATTTTGAATGCATGCAAGCAGAGTGGATAGGCGGGAAGACAAATATTTTTCCTTCTGATGTCACTATGAATACACTTTAAAAGCCTCGACACACAAATACAGAATTTGAGGCTTCCATAAATACAGCGTTCTTTGATTACGATCCAGGACTTGCAGAGCAGAGAGAAGACGTTATTTTAGACTTAAACGTGGTGATCCTTCCCCCCTTTTCTCAGCCGCGTTTGACAAACATTGCACTGTCAGTGCTGGCTGCCAAACCATGCGGAACAGTGACATCAGGTATCCAAGAGCCACAACTGACCCCAGGCCTTCAGAAGGACACACAGCTACAGAAAACATCAAATGTCAAGTACAGGGGACATGCAAGGGGAGGGATGTGGCCTACATGGCAGTGCTGTACTAGAGGCAGCCTTCACTTCCATCAGGCTGTCTGATCGGCCAGACTGACATTATGGTGATTTTCCCTGACAGCTAGCAGAGCCTACTGGCTTCCAGGAACGGGGAGGTCGATTATGTGATGGCTCTCGAAGCAAGCCATCTGCTTTTGCAAAGAATAGACTCAGCAGGGTTTTATTTTCTGTACATAACTCACACATCATAATTCCTGTCATGTCTTGGATTTGTTTTTGCTTTAGGCGAGACACTAGGGAAAAACATGTTCTTCATTCACTGGTCAATTTTCAGATTTTGTGCTATATTGCTTCCATCATGTCTCCTTTCAGATTATTGGAAAGAAAATATCTAAAATCCACATTTAGCAGTTTATTTGACTAATTTTCTCTATATGTGTCTGCAGATTTCTCCCAAATTCACCAAAAGTTAGCATTAAAATGTCTAGGTAATTAAGTTTAGGTTAGTCCAATTCGCTTTTATGCTTCTGTACTTAATATGATGCTGCCATTCAGAGGAGGCCAACCCTTTGTGCCCACTCCACCATATGATTCACACAGTTTAAAATACCCACTTTATGACAAATATCTGTCTGTCCATCTGCCTGCCTGTCCATCTGCTTGTGTGCAGCTATAAATGATTCTGCAGCTTCAAATCTGAAATGAGGTCAAACGCTCAAGTAAGTTAATTTCTGACAGGCTCTGAAAGACGAAAACCCCCCATAGTGAATTTCGTTATGTCTCTCTTGACTTATATCGGTTAAATCTCACCTATCTTAGCATGTGTGAGGAGATAACTAACATCAGACTTACCTGTTAGTCTCCTGCTGGAGCCGGGCTAACACCTGAAGAGGAGTTATGTTGCTAACAAGGTACTTTTACTTTGTGTGTGTGTGTGGAATTAAATTGTAGAGACCAAAATGTGTTTTATTTGGGGACAACAGAAAGTTAAGGGGGCTCTTTTGTCCAACCTTTGTCTTTCTGAAAACCCTGATCAATGATGGTGAACTGTAGGGTTTGTGTGACATTAAAATGGCTTTTTCTTAAATTATAAATGATACAGGGATATAGGGTTATTGTCAGCACTATATACTGTACTACACATATCATAGGCTTTGAACAGAAAGTGAAGGGGAGAAAGAGAAAGGAAAATAGGGCAATTGTAAACCTATAGATGAAAAAGATGGATATAATGTGACTACGTGTACCTGGTTATTTGCTTATGTAGCTATACACAGGATTAAAATCCTATTCTGGTCCACATTCTCATTATCAAAGTCACCTTCAACAATTGTGCCACGCTTTTATTTTTTTAAATATGCAATGAGCCCTTCGCAAAAGCTTTTATTTTGAAAGTGACTATCTGCCACTCTCCACCGGATATCATGTTTCTGCACGCGGACGGAACTTGACTGGACGTCACCATGGCGACTGGACGCTGAGTTTAGGAAATTCACGTAAACACGGTTATTCTTCGACCAAAAAGTGGCCAAATAGCGATATTTGTTCACTTAATAGTGGAGTAAACGTAGTGACTGGTTTCCATTGTGTTTTATGACGTTATACTTAAAAAGCGCGGTAAAATAAACGGCTTTTAGGCTTCAACTTCCGAGTAAATATACATTAAAAATACATAAATAAATTAAAATGGCGACCGCACCTAAAGCAGTAAGATACAGGGCAGTGAGGACGTTCAAAAGAGCTCATAAATCACCTTTAATCTTTCTGGAAAGGTAATATATTACATCATTTTACCTGTGTCATATGCAACACTTCCGCCATTAAAGCCTTTGCAAATTACTGATCAAGTGAAATCAATACAGGTGAATATAGGCTGTAATCAGTGTTGTAATATCTTGAAGTACATTTACTTACGTACTGTGCTTTTTAAGGAACCTGTACTTTACCAAAGTATTTCCATTGTATGCTACCTTATACTTCAACTCCACTACATTTTGGAAGCCAGTGTTGTACTTTTTACAGTATGCAAGTCCTCTCTTTTTGTTGTCAGAAGCGTATGAAAAATGATTGATGTGTTGTGTAGCTTGTCAATAGCACATTTGTCACCTACGCTAAAGAGTTAAATCAGTGGTGTCTCTTCCCATCTTCATCACCCTCTTCATGTCTTTGTCTGCAGACTGCCATTGGAGATCCTGATGAAGATGCTGTCCTACCTGGATGTCTCTGCTCTTTACACACTCAGCCATGTCAACAAGCTCTTCTATCAGCTTGCCAATGATAAGTAAGTACCAGCAATACACACTGAACTTAAAATACACAAGTATTTAAGGAATGTAACGCAAAGTCATCATGGCACTTCTGAGCCCTAAACTGCAGATGGATCCTTCTCTTGTCAAGGCTTTTCAGTCTTATTTTCTTGAAACAATTGAAAAATCTACCAGTCGGGAAAAAAATGCATTTACAGTTTTTTAGATTTGTCTCTCCATCATTTTTCCAATATTTTGTTTAATCTAAATATATATTTTAAACAAGAAAATACAACATGTTAGCAGATTAGTTCAGTCCTTTTTTCCCTCAGTTTAGACAGATATTATTTGGTTATATGGAGATGTTTTTTGCAAAGAGACAGCAGCCTTCACCACAGGCGCTCACCTCAAGACTTCCCCTTTTTAGGTTTAACACATAAATTACCAGCAGGGAACACTATGTAGAAACTAGATTATATGTATTTTCCACCTCAAATGGAAAACTAGTACATGACATCTCCTAACTAAGAGTGGGGTCAAGTCTTAGTGTCACCAAACGCTGTGTTTTTCTCTCCTCAATGTTGTTTAATTTGCTATCACGCAGTACCTAAACTCTTGTCTTAAAGGGAATGCATAATGATACTTGCAATGAAATAGAAACTAAGAACAGATAAACCTCACTGGCATTTAGTTGGAGTTATTTTCACCATAACATGATTAGCACCTTAAGTGAATGAAAGCTTTATCAGAATGCATCATTTCTCCAAACCAACACACACGTAACAGAAGGACATGCATTCAATGACAAGACAGAGGATTATGTTGATGTGTTAGAATGGCAGACCTAACACATCAGATGTAACAAATACTATTCAGTTGTTTTCACTCACTTGCAACCTGTCACCTTCCTCCATCGATGCAGTGTTCTGTGGGAAAAGATCCACAAAGCAGAGCATCGCAGGAAGAGAAATCTAAAATGTGACTGCACTTACGAGCTGCTGCAGATGATGTCCAGGATGGAGTTAGAGGATCCTCCTGAGAACTTCTGGAAGCTCCTGCACTTAAACTCTTTAATCAAATATGACATGAAGAAGTTGAAAAGTAATCTTGGAATCCTCAACCGTCACACTGGGCTGCCCAGCCGAACAAAACAGGTCCTCAGGTAAGAGGAGAAAGAAACTGCTTTTCCTGAGGTGTTTGATTTGTTTAATGAACCAAGCCCTTGATTTTCCTTAGCAGACAATTGACTAGCCTGCCAAGTGTTTGTGAGTTAAGCTAATTGAGTGCTAACCATGTATTCTCAAGCATTTGAATCTCTTAGCTACGGAGGTCTCATTATTTCTCCTTGAGTTTTATATTTTAAAGTTGTCTGCTTTACTTAATTGCAGCTAAAAGGGGGTTTGTTGTGTGCCATGTAGGGTGTGTATCTTTCTGTATATCATGATACTTTGCGTCACGATTTGATTCAAAATCGATTCTCGTTTCGAAACAATTCTTGATACAAAAGGGATTCTGTATTAAAAGTGCACGAATAAAGCAGCAAATGATAACTTTAAACCACAGTAAAGTGTGTTTAGGATTATGGAGTTTATATATTTGAATATATATAACTTTATTTTTCAGTTTTTCACAAATACAGTATGTCCAACATTTATGACAAAAAGTTGCAAACCCCACCCACTCCCCCTCTAGGTGGTATTCCCCAATGAATAGACAAACATACGACAGACAGATAAATAAATAAAATATACAAATATATATAAAAAAATGAAAAATCAATAAAATAAGGAATAGACCAAAATAAATACATACAACAAAATAATTATGACAATAGACAGTATACAAGTAAATACTCGGATATAATAAAACATCACACACATAGCCCAAACAAAACATTTGAGTTTATGCTATTCTTATTGCCAGCCTTCTAAATCCCTAATGTGACGAGGTACGTAACACATGAATATACTTTCACCCCTTATGGCATATTCTGTTTGGTATGTATTACAGCATCAGCTCTGTATCATGGAGCCGCTGCTGGTTAGCAAACAGTAAACCTTTGGAGATCCACCCTCGCTGTCAGGAAAGTTCAAGGGTAGAAACCAGAAGACGGGTCAAGCCGCCGGCCACGAAAAACAAACCACTCTTTGTTTTTCATATCGCAGTTAATGACACTTTCTTATTAAAGGTGAGCAGGGAGGTCTCTGTCTGAGCGAGATGTCTTTCTCAGGGGAACTCAGAGGAAAAGCTCCCTCATCGCTTTCTGCTGTGTTTTTATAACCTTTGATTAGAGGCGGTGCAGCACTCAATTGGGAGCTCAGTGGCAGCCGCTGTGCTACAGAGGGCAAGGAGAAATAATTGTGTTCCTTGCAGAGGCTGTCTGAATTGTTGAAATAAATTACTTAGGGCCCCCAACTCCTCATCCACAACACCGTCATGCACACACACTAACTATGAGTATTCCCTGGAGGTGTTATACACACTGAGGAGCATGCGATTTACCTGGGTAATAATCATTTCACAAGACATCATACACGCAGAGTGAAATCCCCTGGGTCATTTCAGTTTTTAGCTCCACTTTTGTGATATTGGAAGAAGCCTCAGCGAGACAGGGGCTGCATCACAGTGGGGGGGGGGGCAGCCCTGAATCACAGTTGTGACACAATTGGATCAAGAGATTTATCACAATAGCAGCGGTTCCATTTAATCCGTTGCATATTATTTCATTACGATAGCAGCTTAACTGGAGTCATACTGCTGTTAAAGGAAATGTTATAGCCTTTAAACTCTTAGTTTTCATGATTTTAAAGAACAAGGGTCAACACAGCCTGATTATTTGCATTGTGTTGACTTTAAACACATGTTTGGTATGCAATTGTAAGTCACTGGTGTCATTATGTGGCTTTCAGGGAATGATGGGTGAGTAATTATCAACCTCCGGATCTGAAAACTGAAGCCGATGTGGAATGGCTACTGGCTTCAAATCCCCATAGAACCATATGTTAAAATGACCGACTTTACAGCAGAAATAAACATGTTTACTACAGTTTTAGTCTGTATATTTACCTCCAGCTTTTTATGACAACTGTATGAGGTTGATTGAATATAAATCACCCGTTTAAACTTGGTCAGGGCTTGAAGGTATTCATTATTGACTTTAAGATAACATTCATTTGTTTGCAACTTATTCCAATTACTTGTATATCGACTATTCGGCACAATTTCTATTCTATGCTATTCTATTTTATTTACTTGCACTATTATCTGTTTTATTGTGTTGCACTGTTGGAGGAGCCTGTGACCTCAGATGTTCATTGTCATAACTACACTGTAGCTATTTACAAATGACAATAAAAGCCTTGCATCCTTGAAAAAAGCTAAGCCCCGCCCACCGCTGCTACTCTGTCCAGCTGTTGAAGTGACCATGGAGCCCACAATGTCACTAACTGCACTTCTTAAGAAGATATTGTCTGTTCTTTTTGAAAAACAATAGAGACAGAATAGCAGACAGAAGGGTCAACAAGGCTACTGAGCCAAGACACTTCCCCCACTGCATACAAACAATGCTTTTTTTATCCTAACATCTGTCATATATTTGTGCTGTAAACCTGCATTATGTTATTTCAGGAACTTGCGCGTCACGTGGGAGCTGACAGTCTCTGATAAGTCGGGGCATAAGAGCACTTTTGAGCCGAGCTGGTGCCGGTTCTGTGAGACTTCTGTGTCTCTGAGCTGGAGCGGAGGAGGCCAGCTGTCCGACTACAAGAAGATCTCCACCCTCCATCTGCACGGTGTCAGGAGGATAGCCCTCAACTTGCCCGGTCTGAAGACGTAAGACAGCCATCTGCACCTTCTCAATCAAATGCAATGCAATACAAAGGGGCTTTATTGGCATGACCACATTTTAAACATAGTATTGCCAAAGCATATACGGACTTATAACAGAACAAAACTAAAATAAACACTATGCTGTTGTCAACAATACATATGGCACAACAGCATAACACAAAACATACTGTAAAATAAACATAAATACAAATATTATATATATATTAGTATATAGAATAGAATCCCTTATTGTCATTATACAGGTACAATGAGATGAGTAGAGCTACTCCTTTTTTTAAGGTGCCATCAAAAATACAAAAAACCAACAAGAGACTTTCAGGAGGAGACGACATACAAACAACAAGCATTCATACTTCAATATGCAGATATAGTTAAAGTTCAGGAATATATCGGTTTAAGGAAAATAAATAATAATACAAAAAATAATATATATACATATATTGTCTCAGTGCATGCTGGAGTTTAGTGCTCTGGGGAAGAAACTGTCTTCTGTTTGTCTTTGCTTTAAAGGGGACCTATCGTGCAAAATGCACTTTTTGATATCTTGTATACATCAATATGTGTCCCCGGTGTGTCAGAGAACTCACGCAGCGTCAGAAAATAAATCCCTCTCTCTTTTCCTCCGTACCCAAATCTCTAAAAACGGGGCTACAACGGAGCTGATCCAGATTTGCGTCCGATATGACGTAATATCTGAAATGTGGACCCACGGCCCAATCAGAAACGTTGCTATCAGAAACAATGCCCGACTGTTTTGGACGTAATATGGTCGGTGTTTACATTAGCATCGCTAACACTCAGAGCTAACCTGTACTGGAGAGCATGTGTGTGAAGAAGCAGGAAATAAAAAGGAACTCACCTTGTGGTATAACCGGCAAGAGAGAAAGCCTTTGAGCTCCATACTGTTTCAGAAATAATCCTTGATAATCCATGATATGGCGTTTCATCACGGCAGCATTTAGTTTAGACAGTAGCTGCCGGGTCCCGCATGAGCTCAGACCCCTCCTTTTTTTTAAAAGCTTTATACCCAGAATCAGCACTTTTGAAACAGGAAGTGAAATAGAGGGATATGAGGCATGGCTAGAATGGGTGATCTGTTTGGTATTTTGAGCAAAACACTTCATAGACATGTTATTGCCTAAAAATAGCATGATAGGTGACCTTTAAGGCATAAATAAAAAGTGTGTGTGTGTGTCCCTCACTGCTCCTGAGGTTGTGGCAGGTAAAAGCGTTTTCTGCTGCCAGATTGCTGCTCTCTGTGAGCTCTCAGTATCAGGTACTGTATTCTGTCTCTCAACGTCTCTGTTTCCTGGTTTTCTCTCGCTCTTTTCTTTCTCTTTTAGACCTGGCCGCAGGTCCCTCATGCTAAAGTTAGACATGCAGGCTGTAGCTGAAAGCATGCAGATCATCGGTCGGGACAAACTGGTTGAACTGAAGCTGCTTCAGCCTGGCATTATCATCGGCGTCTGGAGGGAAATTAATACAAAGGCAACTACTTTATACATTTGTATTCATATGATTTTAGTAGCTGAAAAACGTTGTAATTTTGCGATTTGTCTCTTTGCAGGACCAGAGCTCCGTGGCCTTTGTCATGTTCACCCTCCACTTCCACAGGCTGGTGGAGAGAAGCACCAATGAGAACCCTCTTTGGTACAGTAGGTTGCACTTGAACAGACACCTTCCTTATTCACATGCTCACATGGCGTGCAGTGTATCAGCGTCACCTGGTTACGGCTCAGATTTGACCCTCTATGATGCACAGTAAGGTGAGATTCAAACCTTCAGCATCACTGACACCTGTATTTCACCCTGCAATGAAATACAGGTGTCAGTGACACACACATAAAGTGACTTTACCACACTTTTTTATATATAGAAGTTCTTCTTGTCAGGGCCAGTCTTTCCATGAGGACACGCCACAGTGCAGGTGTTAATTGCAAGCAGTGGATTTCTCTGAAAAGCCGACTTTGAAACTCAAGCAAATAAGAATTAGTGTTTGAATGAAATTGATTGATTAAAAACCAGTGGGATAGATCAATGGGTAACCACTAAAGATTGTCTTTTCCCATTCTCTTGAGCTGAAACAAGCTAGAAACATGTAACTTGGCCCAAAGGAAATGATGTCCAGATATAATGTTGATGCAGTAATGAATGCACAAATCTGCAAAAGGCCATGCCCCTCAAACTGTGAATCTGATCTATTTTAAATTAGGCAATCCTGATTGATAACTCAGTAGACTGATCGAGTAACACGTACTTAACATCGACACCAAGTCTCATTCATATCCAATTAAAGGGGGGTAATACAGCTGAACTTTTTTAAATGCTCACCTCACTCTCTCAAGCCAGATACAATGTACAAGAGCAGCAAAGGGGACTCTTTCCATTTGATGTGTTTTTTTTATTTTGCTGTCTTTCGTTAAAAATACTGGATACCATCACCCAAAGTGAAGCTTCCAAAAATCATGAGATAAGGGGAATCAGGTAGACTTCATTTCAAGAGTCACACATGTTGGATACTGTTGGGGAATAATTCTCCCTGCATGTCCTCCTCCTTCGCCCTCTGACGCAGCTGACCAGCCTCGAGCAGCCGCTATCTCCCTTAAGGAGGGGCTGCCCTAGCAAGTTGTTGATGTTACCAGTTTATGACCGGGCAACTCTCGGTCAGAGATAGTTATTGTTGTGGGACACCTGGAACACATCCTTCTCGGGGTGTAGATGACCCCGAGCCATAAGCGACAAGAAATGTGATTCAGTGTCCTCAGCTGTTTAGTCTATCTATTGAAGAATGTTGATTATTACACTCTGAACTAGTTCAAACCTGGAGCTACAGGAGGGGTCTTCAGAATTAATTGTGGCATCTCAATCGTGTGGTCAACTCGTAACCCGTGACATGTCGTGTGAATTCTCCGGCCGAAGCTCCAAATAAACCGTCAGTGTTTGCCATCAAAGCTCCAGCTCTCCTCGTGTCTCTCTGAGTCCTGACTCCATTTGATTCATTCAGAAGTTTCCCCCACAGAAACCACTGGGTCAAAGCATACAGTGTTCACATTTTTATTTGTACGGACATCTAAAGAAAAAGCAGGGAGCAGTGCAGCTACATCTCCTGTCAGCCTGTGACTCCAGCACAATGTGGACATAGCCCCCTCTCCTGGTTTACTGTGAGATCACAATGTCACAGACTCCAGAAGACCCTCTGAAAAGCCTTCTTAATGAAGTTCTTGTTCCTTCACTCGCTGCAGTCTGATCTTTTTGTTTTTCTCTTTCTTCCTGTAGCCTCGAGGACCCGATCTTAAAACCCATTTCTGACGACGTTGACCCTGAACACGGCCTCCATGGTTACCAGCTTCACGTGGCTCTCAACGACACTACGTGCGACATCATGTCCGAAAACTTCTCCCAGCTCTTCTGCCGGAGAGGTCGTTTATTTATGCTAATTGTTTCAGACACTCAGGACAATGATCTTTGTAACTATATGAGTGCAAATCATAAAATGAAAACTTGTTATCATTTGTACTCATCTAGTTATATATAATTTGCCCAATAACTGTGACATGTACATACAATTCAATACACACTTACATAAATATTGCCTTCATATATATTTCGTATTGTTCTTGTTTTGATTTGATTTTCAAACAGTATGCTATTCTACACATAATGTACGAGCATGAAAAACTAAATAAAACCTTTAATTATAAAAACAAAAAAACCTTTATTACCACTAAGAACTTCCTTGCATATGACAGTTACTATATTGCTCTCATTTTGAAATGCATACAAATGTTTTTCATCATCTCACGTGATCACGTTCTTCTGAAATGTCAAAAGTTTTTAGTCTGATGATTTTAGCCTTATATACTAAATGTCAAATGATAACAGAATAACTCCAGTGTGTTTTTCTCTCCGATCAGCTGACATCAGTGACGGTTTGATCCGTCTGAGCGCCATCAGCAGGTCAAACCCATCGCAGCACTCGCCTCTGTCCGGCAGCGTCAGTCTTCCCTGGAGCTGTGAGTCTCTGCAGGGCAACGTGCAGGTACTTCTGGATACTTTGCTTTACTTAGTGTTATGGGAAGTCTTCATTCAAAACTCACCCGTTCACCATGGTCTTTGACCCCTAACCCATCACAGTCCCCCTGCTTCCACTCCCACTGCTATTTATTTAATTTGTACTTTATGATTTGCCCCTCTTGTTTGGTGGTTGTTCACCATGTAAAGCGGCCTTGGGTCTATTGAAAGGCGCTATACAAATGTAATCTATTATGATTATTATTAAGAGAGAAAAGCATGCCCAAAACATCATAGTATGATACTGACAAAAAGTTATTTTGAAACAGATAAGGCTTTTACTGGGAAATGTCACAATCATTCCCCTATTTTATCCCGTTAAGTAGGACACAGTTATTTTCTCATCGTGGAAATCACAGTGAAAAGAGAAAAAAGATCCTGACACTGTTTTATTCCTCAGCATTTTCCCAGATGCTCAAAACATCAGAGGATGTTACTGACACAAACAGAGATGCTGCTTTTACTGTGGCACTGAACCTGGAACAAAAAAACGAAGCTTTAAAACATTACAGCAGGATACTCGGACTATTTCAAACTAAACTGATTCTATTTAAACAGGAATGTAATCAATTATATTTTGTAAATGCAGGAAAATATACAGTTTAATACATATTTGACGATTTGTGAACATTTTCCATTCAAATGCTGAATACATTAATATATTTGTAATAATATCTTGGCGAGAAATGCATGCTCAAAACATCATAGGATGTTACCCACAAAAACAGAGATGCTGCTTTTACTGTGAAACTTTACAGTCATTCCCTATTTTATTAGTAGGATACAGTTATTACTTATTTACTACTTTTTGTATTCCTGCGTCTTGAGTGTGACCGACAAAAAGTTATTTTGAAACAGTTACTGTAACTACTCTGGTCTTGAAAGAACGTTACGCATCGAACTGATGTCCACAATCACGTTTATTTATCTCTTTGAACAGTTATGAAACACCGTGAAAACGTGTTCGCCTAGTAGACCAGAAAGGCACGTTATTAACATCGTTCACACTTTTAGCGCCGTTTTACTCTCTCAAACACAATGTGAACATCCGGGGCTAGAGGTCACATGACTTCCGGAAAGATAACTCTTATCATTTTTAACCCTTAGATGCATAAGTGGGTCTTTTTTGACCCGGTGAGGTGGTTTTCTTGAAGTATCATTGTAATTACATTTTTTTATCATTTCATATTCCAGCTATTCCTCAAAAAACATGTTTTGGATATCATGCCATTCACATTTTAAATTTACATTTTATACATTATGGACATTTTTGTATTTCTACCCCAAGCTTCCATAAGTGGGTCAAAAATGACCCGCATGCATTTCCTATGGCATCCTATGGGAACCTTTGATTCTTATCACCTGTTGCTGTCAGGAATACATTCACTGTAGACCACACGGACTACATCACAAGTGACACCTCTCAGGAAGATTATTTTACACAGCAAGATCTGATACCTGTCAGTATAATAATAATAATAATACATTATATTTGTATAGGGCTTTTCAAGGACTCAAAAATTGCTTTACAATATAAGGGAAGGTTAGGGTGGGGGGTATAGGACTATCAAACTTGATCAACCGGCATGGATTGATGGGGGGGGGGGGGCTATGAGTAGACAAGAGGAGAAGAGATGAGTTTTGAAAAGGGACTGGAATACTGTGAGGGTCTCAGAATAGCGGAGATCTTTGCATCAAAATGTTTTTTTTCAAAATGTAAAAAAAAAATCTTAAATTATAAATAGTGAAAAATTAAATATAAAATATTTCTAGTGTGAACCAAAATATAATACTAAATATTATACAAGTGATTTTTCTTAACCAAAAATGGCATAAAATCACATATTATTCTAATACGGGTCCTTTTTGACCCACTTATGGAAGAGTGTAGGGTCCAGTCACTCGGGCATCTAAGGGTTAACCAAATAAAACAAAGTTCAAGCATTCATTAGGCACTCTTCAAAAATACAAAACAATAAATAAGGGCACTGAGCATCAGCTACAGTCACTTCACTTCTTTTACTGTGAAATGTTACAACCATCCCCTATGTTATCCGGCTAAGTCGGACACAGTTATGTTCTTATGTCTGAAATCATTCCTCAACATTTTGTTTCAGAATTGCTGCGTCTTGAGTGTGACTCTGCTGGATTTCTGTAAGGGAAAGTTCTGGTGTGTCGGCTCTGCGGTGTCCGTGCAGCTGCAGGAGACGCCCGTCTGCTACGACTACGACGGTGAGCACTTCCTGATCCTCCATCAGGACTCAGAGGGTCGGGTGGAGATACAACTCGTGACGGAACAGACGCGCTTTGTTGTCGTCAGTTTAGCTGTCTGTGTGGCTGTGGGCAAAGTCAACAAGCATTTCGGCACAAGTTACTGAACCTGGAACAAAAGAAAACATTACAGCAGGAGGATACTAGGGTTATTTCAGACTAATCTGATGCTTTTTAAACATAAATGTAATCAATTATATTTTGTAAATGACGATTTGTGAACATTTTTCATTCAAATACTGAATAAATTAATATATTTTAAATAATATATTTGCATCCTTCCTCATAGCTGCTTGCATCAGTTAGCTATTCACTTGAAAATTAAAGTATCCACTGAAATGAGAATAACGAATCATTCTTAATCACTAATCACTTTTATTATAAATCTGTCTTTCATGTATCCGGTGTATTCTCCCTTTTCCTTAATTATGAATAGATTTTTCTTCAGCCAACAGCAGTGTGTCCACAACCCGTGCTCTTATATAATGTATCACCTTTAATTACCCTTTTAACTTGAGTATACCTTTGTCTTTGCAAAACAGGTCATGCTTAACACGTACAAACGTTTTGTTTCCAATGTTTCTTTTTTGTTTCCTCTTCTCGTGGCTTTTCCACCTGAACACCCACATTACCTCAAATTGCATTGTCAGCCATTATGCCGTCACTTTCAGATGGAAATTGAGTTTAATGTCCACACCCCGAGCGAGTCTGGCAGCAGCGATAGAATTAGTGAGGGAGCAATTGTTGGAAACAGTATCCGCGCTGCTGATGGACCAACACTGCTGATGGACCAACACTGCTGATGGCAATAAAATAACTCTGGGTAATGGGATTTCAGAGGCTTCCCCTCCTTCTCTCCACGAGGGTCAGCGTCACCTTGAAACACATCACAAACTGCATTGGCACTAGATCCAAAATCTCTCCAGGAAATGAGCCAGAGGGGAAAAGAGGGGCAACAGTTTGTGTGATGAGTTTTGTGTTTGTTTGTCACAAGCTTCACAATTTAATTGAGACAAAAAACCAAGACACTATAGGTGTAGAATTGGGAGGGATGAACCCCTCTGTAATGGTCACACATGCAGAGCACACACAGTGACATGTGTTCTCTACTTTTAACCCATCCTAGTACCAGGAGTCTAGTACTAGGAGGAGTGGGCAGCTATTGCACAGCGCCTGAGGCAATGGGAGTAAGGGGAGAATGGGGGTGTCCGGTGCCTTGCTCAAGGGCACCACAGCAGGGCAGGAGGTGAACTGGGACCTCTCCAAGTAGCAGTCCACGCTCCATATTTTAGGTCTGGTCGGGGACTTGAACCGGCGACCCTACAGCTCCCAGTCCAAGCCCCTACTGACTGAGCCACTGCCGGACTTTCTAGGTGTGTTTCCATCCTGAGTGTAATTGCAGGAAAATAGAAGACATCTTGACTTGAATAGGATAGTTTGTGTCTCGTTTTAAAGCAAAAATGTGCTATGGAAACAGATTTGTGGATTTGGCTAAATAAATCGTAAATCTGATGTTACCTGACTAACGTATATACAGTAAATGAAACCCACACAAATGTCATATCTCCATCTTGCTTTCCATCCCACCTTCACCTTATTATTTGCATTATCTAATTGCACTCTCTTCTGCAATGGTAACATGTTTTTTCTAGATAAACAACTCCTTATTATTACCGTTGTGGATTGAAAACACGCATTCATTCTCATTTTCTTTTGCAGATTTGCTCTTGTCCTAATCACAAAGTCTCCGTGTGTTTCTCTATTATTTTACATTTTCGCGGCTTGTGCTCTCTACTCCTTCCATGTCAGTGCCGTTGAATGGCTGATTGGATGAAAGCCATAAAAGCAGTACATTGCATTGCTGAGTTGGACTTTTAATGCACGGACAAATTACACGAAATTGGCCATTACTGAGGCTGAATGATGTGCACCATGTATGACTTTCAGGTTGTGTTGGAGCACATTTCCATCAGAGCGACCTTCATCCTACTGTTTGCTGTCACATCAGCTGTTGCTAACGGGCAATCCTTCATTCCTCATTTTATTAGGAAAGAGCCAAGGGTACGGTGGGCCACTTAATGGACTCGCAAGAACATAAAGCCACTTATCCCAACGTTTGAGTCTGAGTAATGGCCAAACAAACACTATGGATTTGGACCGTGGGGCCTTGACTGTATGCTCTGGTGTGGCACAAAGTAATAGCTTAATGCTCCGGTGGTGATCTTTCTTTGAAGAATTATAATTGGAAATACAAGAATCAATTCATACACACATGGAGAAGTACATGTGTAGGTAGTTCACCAGTAGATGGCTCTCTTTAGTAAACAATGGGAGAATCCTTTCACAGCACATGGGTTTTATTTTGCTCTAATCTTTCAGTCTGTCTAAATATAATAGAACTGCACTTTGCTGGACATGCATTTGAGTCCTTTATGTTAATCAAAACCTAAAGGACTTTAAAACCAAATATTGATTAAGAAAGTACCCACAGATTTAGTGACGTAAAGCTTCATTAAACTCATCTTTCTTAGTGTCCTCACAGGCTAATCTTGGAAGAAAATTGCTTCCATTTTTAGCCTTTAATTCTCTCCCATGTGAGTGACCAGCTGGGTGGACTGTGCAGCCAATCACAGTCCTTCTAATGAACAGTGAACTAATGACATCGACCAGGAGGCTGTTTGATTATGTGTGTGTTTAGCTGCACACAATCAAAATGCATGATGTCGTTTCTTGTTTTTTCTCCTTTACATCGAGCCTATAAACTGATTGTCTTTAAACCTCTCAATTCACATCTCCTATTTCCAAACGTCCTCTCTTTTGATCCTGGCAGTGGGACAGTGAGGGGTGACAGTGTTATATAAAAGGCCCATCATTCCCAGTATGATGCTGGTTTATCTCCCCCTTTTTTAATAGTGCATCACGTCCAGAAAGGCCTGCAGAAATCCAGAGGAATCCATCCATATCAAAGCTGCAGCTCGCCCTGAGATCAATGAATAATGTGACCTTCCTGCTGCATGGTCCAACGCTGCCTCACCTGCAATGATGCACAGCACGATGCAGGTAAATGTGGTCACCTGTAGATGTTCTTTTACACGTGTTCACGAACAATTAACATAGTAGACTTACATTATCGTGCTTTATTTGAGTATTTGAATCATGCCATTTGTACAAAAGTTAAATACATGGTACATTTTGGAAATAATTGAACAGTTAATGGTTATCTTAAGTAAGGGATCTGGCAAGAATACACCATACTGGATTGCTCAAATTAAAAGTGAATTGACCCTCTGACTTTCCCCACTTCAGTACATTTATTTTAAAGCCACGGGATAACAGTTCGGCTGTAATATTCCTGCAGTCCAGGTAATGTGGTCACCAGATGTTCTTTTACACGTGTTTATTAACAATTAACATAGTACACTTACATTATTGTGCTTTATTTAAGTACTTCCAATGTTATCCCTCTCATTTCAGTGTTAAACATTGAACTACCATTAGCTGTAGTTACTTACAAATTCAGATTTTTTGGTTGAAAACCTATAATCTTGAGCTAATGTATGATGCAATTCATATTATATATATATACACATTTTCAATTTCATGTTAACTTGAAAATGGACAATGTATATCAATCAACATTCAAGCAAATGTACTGGAGTTAGCTAAAAGGCTTCTTATCATCATCGTCCACTAAGTCTGATTTTGTTAGGTATCCTACAGACTAAGAATCATACATCTTGTACAATAGTTATATAAATGCTACATTATGGTAAAAAACATATGCAATACAGGTAAACAACATAGATAGATAGAACAAGGTGTCCGCGGGGTCTTAAAAAGCATTAAGTTGATCAATCAATTTAGCGAAAATGAAGGCTATTAAAAAGTATTAAAAAGTATTAAACGGCATTTTCCAAGGTATTACATTTTGTAGCTTGCGCGCGAAGCTCCGTTTACGCCGGTTGTTAAACAACATCGTTATGGGGAAATGCAAGTCTGCGTCCAAATGGTTGGAAGATAAGGAGGAAGGACAATCAATACTGTATATAGTCAATGTGAGGTAAGGTGTGTCACCAATGTAACCGGTTAAAACTCCAAGTGGCGATGAGGTCTTAAAATGTATGGAAAGGGTCTTAAAAAAGGTCTTAAAAGGAATTACATTTGACTTCAGGATTCCTGCATATACCCTGGAGAATCGGAGGGATGAAACCCTCTTTAATGAGCGATACATTGAAAAATCTCCACGTCAACAAGATATTAACATCGTGATGCATCAATAATATAAATCCAATATTATCATAAAGAACTAACATGGCTATTGGAGAGAACAGACGTTAGCCAAGGCCGTTTCAACAAGTTAAACATAATTTGTGTATTACTTTTAATTGGCACTCTTCCACCAAGTTTCATGAAAAGTGGGCCAGTAGTTTTTCTCTTAATCCTGATGATAAACAGACAAACAAACCAATAGTCCTTAACGACAACATAACATCTATACTGTAGGTATTAATGAAATAATCTGGTCGATTCTGTATTCTACGTACCTTTTATTGTACTGATTATACATCTTTTCTTAAAATCCTCAAATAAATAAAACAACTAATGTGTGTTTTTTCACAACCTGGTGTTACTACTTTATCTTAAAGTGGACCTATCATGCTATATTTGAATAATATAGTGTAGGACCATACCTATATAAGGCATATTTATACTTTTTTTTTTTCAAAATACCAAACAGATCATGCATTTTAGCCATGCCTCATTTTGCTCAATTTGACAATTTCTAGCTCTGTTTTTGCAAGGGCTGATTCAGTGAGAACAGCACCATCTACAGGCCTGGCATATGTACTACAGCGTCTCCAGCGCTTTCGAACGGCAATGGCCGTGGCTGTCTCCTCCTGATTGGTGGAGTTGGCCCAATAGCCGTAGCGCCACCGTCCTGACGTCAGGACAGTGTTCAAATCTGGATCAGTTTTTATCAGATCCGTTGCAGCCCCTTTTTTAGAGATTTGGGTATGGAGGAAAATAGAGAGGGTTGTGTTTTCTGACACTTGGTGAGTTCCCTGGAACACCGGGGACACATATTCATGTATAAAAGACGTACAAAAGTGCCTTTTGCA